GGCGCGGGTTCCAGCTTCCATGCTGAGACTTTATCTGTTCCTCTTATAGCACCGGGATTGCATTTCCAATTGGTTTCTCTCAGCTTAGTTCGTTCCTGGGTCGGCAGGGTATATCTCTCCTTGCTTAGGACTCCTCACACCACGCCATTCCTGGATTCTAAGCTTGGTATCTCAGAGAGCCTCCATAGCTGCTGTTATCTGTCTGCCATGTTCTCCTGGAAGTCAACAGCACAAGTTTTAGAGATGGGAAGAACTCGAGCAATTTGACAGCATGAACAACTGGTTTTTTTTTTTTTTTGTTTTTGTTTTTTTTTTTTTTTTGGTACTGGGGATCGAAGAACAACTTCTTAAAATATTTGAGAACTTTTTCAAGAAGCTTATCAGTATTTTTCGTACTGCTTTTCCCTGTAGCCCAAGGAGGATAATGAACTGTGTGTGTGTGTGTGTGTGTGTGTGTGTGTGTGTGTGTGTGTGTGTGTGTGTAATAGACTCTTACTGGAGGGCAGAGGATAGTAGAGAGCAAAGACAAGGGCAGCTAAGGTGAGGCTTGCTTCTGTGTATCCGTCAGCCTTGGGCAGCACAGTACCTTTCTTCTGATTCAGCTCTTATTTGTAAGACAGCCTAGGAAAAGAAAAGGAGCATTCGAGATACACTGAACTGTGTTTCAAAACTGAGCTGCTGGTGAAGCCATTGGTCGTTTATAAAAGTTTCAGGGGAAATCAAGCAGTATCTCATCTGTTGTTAATTAATGAAACGAAACTAGACTCACTAGAGCACAGCAGTGAATGAAAGGTCAGTGAATGGAAAAAGCTGTCAATGAAGGAGGATGTCAGCAGGGCGGAACATTGTCAGAGATAAAGATGGGGAAAATGTGCTCTTGGCTGAGGTAGTGTTTTCTGGAAGTGACTAGGAAGGAACTACAATTTAGGACATTTTAAGCCAGTCTGGAATTTCATTGAAATCTATTTAATATTTTAAAATATTTGACTTTGCTTTTGTACTAGATATTAATTGAAAATACTCGTAAACAAAGTTTTGTTGATAATGTGTTTTACAAGGTAGGCTCTTTGTATTCTGAGACTGAGTGGTGTGGGGTTTTTTGTTGTTGTTTTGTTTCACTTATTTCTATTCCCTACCATGGAATTGGCTAGCGCCACATTCACTTTGGAGCACACTGAAGTTAGTGATCTAAGATCTTTGTACTAATTAATGATAGACCTGGATGGACCTTGAACAGCCAGGTTGGCTGGCTGAGTTTATGATTCTTAGGGAATTGTGTCTCTCTCAAAGTTGTTCTCTAGATGGTACTTGAAAGCCAAGATATACTTTTGCTACCAACTTGCAAACTATAATCATGAACAAGCCCCCAGTGACTATATCTACATTGCAGCTTTTGTTTTTCTTTTTTTTTTCTTTCCTTTTCTTTCTTTTTTTTTTTTGGTCTTTTTGAGGCAGGGGCTCGCTATGCAGGTCAGGTTGGCCTTGAGCTCACTTTGTAGTCCTGTCTGGTCTTAAACTCGCAATGATCCTCCTGCCTTAGCCTCCCAGTGCTGGGTCCCTTCCCTTTTTCCTCACTGAAGCACTTGAACCATATACCTTTGGAGAAACAAACTCTTCCGTCAGTTTGGGAGAGGGCAGGACCATTGTTAGTCTGGTGCTAAGAAGTGTCAGGTCACAATGGTAGGCTAGAACCCCATACACATGGGCAAGGCGTTGGAGTTAACCCCACAGGACTTAGAGAAGTACACTCATGCTAGCTCTGCCAAGTATTACATAATGTAATTTTGCCTCTCTTTCCTTATCTGAAAAAGAGAATAGTAATGGAACCTACATCATAGGGTATTTATGAAGATCAGGGAAATACTTGTAGTGTTTAAAGCAATGCTTGTCACATGGTAAATTTTCAGTACATTCTGTGACTATTACATGATTATTTATATCATTTATAAGTATGATTACTTGTAAATATAAAATGGAATTCAAGTGGAATTTCCTTGGATCCTTTGGTTTCTCTTTCCCTGAGAACATTTACAGGAACATTGTTCTGTTAGATTTAAATAACAGTCTGTCCCATGAGCTAAGTATAGGAGAGCCAAAGAGAAAAAAATACGAGGAATAACTGTTTACCAGACCACCAGGATCACCAATTTTATGTAAGTTACAATTTAAAATTGTACAGTTATAATCAAAATAGTACCTGTCAGTTATGTTGGATGAATATAAGGAAAGAAAGATGAGAAGTTTTGCCATATACTGTTAGAATTACCTTACAGGGAAAAACTACACCGTAAATAAAAACTATATAATTAAGAGAAACTTAAAAGGAGCAAAATAGTAACAGAAATAAAACTAAATCCAAACTGGGCACTCATGTACCCCCAGTACTGACTAGCCCCCTTCTTTGAGATTCTCTGGGTTGTATTTACAGATGGAAGTTCTCACTGACTCCATTTAGTAGTTCAGTGGCCCTAGTCTAGCATCACTGTAAGTTTGAATTGTGCTAGTAACTAATAGAGGGAATTCTATGATCAGATAGGTTTCAAAAAGTTTAACTTAAATAAATTAAACCACTTTCTTCAAAATTAAAACTGGCTGCATTTTGATATTTTTGGGTCCTTTAACCTACTAGCATGAGAAATAAGAGACAGTGTTTCTGTTTTTTGGACAAATACTCCATTCTGTCAACCTCTAGTAGGACAGCAGTGCTGTGGAGCACACTGGGGGAAGGTAACCTTACAGGCACTGCTGTTTTCACTTGGTATCTAAAGAGTGACAGCTATCAGGGGTGGAGAAAGGCCTCATAGATGACGCTGGTAGCTGTACCTACCAACATGCAGTGGGGTAATAATCGCTGATTCTTATCTCTTGCTGTGTTCCACACAGAGAACACTTGATAGGTTAACTAATCCTCTCCACAACAGTATGAAGCAGCTGTGATCATCATCCTTATTTTATAGATGAGGAAGCCAAGAGCAGGAGGGCTAAATAGCTTAATCAAATATGACAACTAGAAAGAGATATGAAGCCCGATGAGAACTCAGGTGAAGGAACTTGTGCTCGTTTTCTCTGCGGTATGACTGTGGGCCTTGTGTGTATGTGCTGTGGCCTCTACATGCACGTGCATGGGCAGGCTGGTGGCGGCATTCCTGGGCAAGAAATAACAGTGAGTTTTGTATGGCTGAAGGTTGCATTTGGAAATCGTGAGACACGAGACCAGACGGCAGACACAGGAGTCCTGCTGGGTTGTGCTCCAGATGAGCGTGACACACGGATAAGGACCTGCTCCTTCCTCAGCTTCTTGTCTTCCCGGCAGTCTTAGAGCACACAGTTTAGACACTTTCTGAAGAGGTGACAATTCTGTTAGGAGATGGGGACAACTTTAGTGAGATTTTTAGGCTCTACTCAAAGGCTTAAAGAGGTATCTTAAAAAGTGGGATTGCAATTTCTTCTAATAGGACTTGACATTTTTTAACTGAATAATTAGTATTATAAATTAATACTATTATAAATATTCTCAATAATTCAAATCTTCGTGGCTCCTGAGTTCAGGCTTATTAAGCAATGAGCATATGGATAGCAAGGGATGTTTGTGAAAGTTTTTCAGAATCTGTTTGGTTCCTGATTCAAATTGGGATAGAAGGAATATTTAGATTGGAAACTTGGGAAAGACCGCCTCAGTTCTTCTTCCAGGGGCCATGAGAGGGCCTCCTTTGGCTGCATAACTTCCACTTGGGGAGTGGTGGTGAGATCATGACTTAACGAGGATCATAGAGCAGAGGTTTACAAGCTACAGCCTGGGATAAAGCTTAACTCTTCCACGGCTAGGCATCTTGCCACCAGTCCGTTGTGCATTCAAAGCAGTGTAGGTTTGGTTGGCACTTCTTTCTACTGCTCAGCAAAATGAACATATTTCCAACATCAGTGGTAATTAAGGGACCTTAACTAACCTTGATTAACTGCCTACAGATGCCAAGAACTTGATAGGCTACTTCAAAGAGCAGAGGTGAATTTTTTTTATATTTTTGAAGTGAAATAATATATATGGTGGGATGACTGAAAGTTAACTCTAGGAAGTTTTTATTTTGAAGCAGTCCCTCAGTCTTGGTTCACATTTTTAAAAACTTTTTCTTCATTTTTTATTTTATGAAAAAATAAAATTTCGTAACCAAATAGAATAATAATAGTTACTGCACTGTACATCATTATCTTCAAAGTAGTTATCCAGAGTACAAGACATAAACCAAAAAGATTCTTATCGAAAACCCGGATAATAACAAAACACTTTTTAACAAACTAAGACTAGTAATATAAATGAAACACATTGGCATATATAGAAATATTTAAGAATGTGTAATTTGTGGCATTTATACACAACAAAGTACTATGCTGCCATAAAGAAAACCTTGAGGCGTTGGTAGAAAAATGGATGCAACCTGAGAACATAATGTTAAATGAAATAAGAGAGACACACAGCTCAAATATCACATGGTTTCCCCAAGAGAAATCTTAGAGAAGAGAAAAAGAGAGAGTGAGACAGAGGGGGGGTTGGGGTGGGAGTGGGAGGAGTGCCCAGACTAGGAGAGTGATAAACAGGGAGTCGGGGGAAGTTCGCATTTTTTTAATGTCCCCATTTTGCTTGTGTGAATAGCTGGCTTAGCTGTTTACCACTGACTTACCCTCTTCATGTTCCACAAAGAGAAGTTTGCATGAGAATGGGAAGTGGGGAGCAAAGTCACAGGGTCGGTGAGGACAAAGGACAGATTTGAGAGGTTGAAGGGTAACTTCCAAGGGCCTTCAGGATGTGCGCGCGTCCATAGGGCAGCCGGAGCTGGGTATTACATCAGGGTGACAGTTGACAGCTGTACAGAGGAATTCGTGCACAGCAGTATCCACGTGGATCTACGAGAGCTGATTTTTCTGTTTGAAACAGCTGTGTCATAGTCAATGGAAGGCTGATTTTTGCTTAGTACCTGGCATAATCTTATAATGTTTATTCCCAGGTGGGTTTGCTGAGTTCTCTCGTTGTTTCCCTGGCCTCTGTGAAGGAAAGTCTACTCTAGTACCTACCTGCATTTCTCAGCCTTGCTTACCTGTTGCCAACACTGGGCCAACCCGAATTCTTCCCAATCTTTATCTTGGCTGCCAGCGAGATGTCCTCAACAAGGTGGGTGCTTTGAAAATGTCCTTCACTGCTGGGTTTATTGGTAGCAGCTGGAAAAACAGCAATTGCCCATTAACTGTCATTTGAAACACACTGCAGTCCCAGAAAGGAAGTCCACTGCTCTCAGTGTGACTCCCCAACTAATGGTTACATCATCGTTTGGAGTGTTACTTTGTTTGATGTTATTTATTGCCACAGGAAATCCAAACTATAGTCATATTTGCTTGTTTTCCTTGTAGGTTCAAGAGACCTGAAATAGGACAGGCGTTTTAGTCTTATTAGGCTATTGTTTAGCCTATTAGCCTATTGGTTTACTATAGTAATTGGATGCATGCAGCATGGCTAATCCGTTCACATTTGGAGATGTATTTATTTGCTGCAGCACACTAAGAGGGGACTCCGATTGGCTTAGACTGCAGAAGGCTCTCATGAAGGGCTCTGGGCTGAGGGGTGGGAGAGGCGGAAAGTATGGTGAGTGGTAGGCCATGAGGAAGACAAAGGCTTGAAAGTAGGTACTGCCAGCCCCCTTAGGTTTTCTTGTTGGAAGAGCTCAATTAAGGAAAAAAAGCAAAAAGCATGGCTTTTTGCTGAAAGAATTGGCAGTGCTGATAGGCGCACTCTACTAAAGGAACATACGTTAGATTGGCAACTCAGGTATATAATGGTACAGACGTTACAATACTGGAATTATAAGCTGACTCTATAGGTTACATGCTTTTAATTTTAGCCAGTAATGCTGTAAAACAATGCTCTTACTGCCTGGAAAATGAGATTTTTCTTTAAAACTTCTTAATTTATGTCGCCACAAATTGAAAGAACAATTAAAGATTTTAATGCAGCTATAGGTAATTTACAAATGCTACTTTCCTGTGTGAAGGGCTGTAGCAGCTCTAAACATTTTCTCCTTCAGCGACTAGAGCAGTACAGCTCTAGCTGTAACGAGCTTTTCCAAAAGGAAAAAAAAAAAAAAAAAAAAAAAACCCAATTTTTGGACAGCAATGAGGCATTATTTGTTCTTCGTCTGCCTGTAGGGGGCCTTTCTGGTAAGTCTCAATGCCTTTGAGCTTGTGATTATTATTTTCGTTTAGAGATAAGCACCTGTGCTACAGAAAGCAAAGTTAATTTCCTAAAGCCACATGCATTGTTGAGGCAAAGCTAGAGATAGTTTTTTTAGCCTCCAAAAAAGAAAATAATATTCCTAGTTAAGGATCCTATTGAACATGGTAAACCTTAACCAGTTAGTAGATTCTACATGGTGAATTTTGTTATTTTTGACATTAAATTAGATGACACATTTGTTTTGCTCTATACTTTTTTCAAATATAAGAAATATAAGTCAGTTCACAACTTGTTGAATGCCTGTAAGGTGAGAGGAGTTAAACCAGAACCCACTTGAGAATAGGGAAGGGGTGGTTTTCTGTTTACATTGCCTTCCGGCCTCCCAAACATACGGCAGGCAGTGTACATACAGAATTTGTGAGAAGAGACGGGCTTATGGACACTTGTGGGACAGCAGGTGGGCCAAGAAGTCACCATGCAGCACTGTCAAGAATGTGACGGAGACAGCGAGAAGTGACGCTGGTGGCCTGGGCCGCTGTGAGAGTGCCGAGTTGGAGTGTACAGTGGAGCATGGTTTTGGTTCTCAGTGTGGTCTTCTTTGAGAATCCTTCTCTTTGGTTTTACTCCAAGCTATGTTATTTATTCTGCTACACTGCATTCATTACACATTTTTCTTTTTATTTTGAGGCCGGGTCTTGCTATGTAGTGCATCGGGCCTTGAATTAGCTTAGCTCGAACTAGTGGCCGTCCTCCTGCCTCAGCCTCCTGAGAGCTGTGCTTACAGTGCTGGGATTTCAGCATGTGCCACTGGTTTGGACACCTCTTTGTGGCACTGATATTTGAGCAGCTGCCTTATACACAGAACAGTGTGTTTCCAGTGGCATTGCTTGTTTTCTGTGCCCTTAGCACTCCTATCCTGGAGTATGTTGATTCATAGAAAATTTCTGTGACAGGCTTTTAACATACTTTGGTGACAGTTTATTTTTGAAAGAGACTAATAAATTACTGACCTTTTGGATGCTTCTTTTAAAGTCTTCAACTTTTGATTTTTAATAGAGTGGAACGTACCATTAGGGAAGATTATAACATGGCACATCTTTAAATTTTTTAAATGAACATACTTCCTAAAAGTTTTCCTCACGCTGTTTACTCAGAAAACTTCTTAATAAATTTGAGAAACTCAGGTAACATAGTCTTTCACAAATTATGAAGTGAATGAAATATAAATGAATGACATTTGGCTGTTATAAAATGAAAATGTGTAAGGAGCAAATATTCTTATCAAAAGACAGTAACAGACTAGTTCCTAGATCCCAATTTTAATCATTTGAAGAATAATGGTTCACTCATCAAATCCTCATCAAGCCTCTCCTGTGTGCCAGACAATATTCTGGGCTCTAGAGACACCTCAGTAAATGGGACAGAAATGTCTGTTTTCATGAGCTTATCAACTAGAGGACAAGAAATGTGACAGTCACTGTAATAAGTAAGTAAGCTCCACAGTGCAGTGTATTATTGCCTGTCTATTTATTATGGTGACAGGTGCTATGAAGAAAATACAGAGTAAGAGGCAGGGAGTGCCCATGGGTGTGGGCTGCGATAAACGGGGTGGTAAAGGGAAGCCTGGTGAGGGAGAGACGTTGGAGCAAACACTTGGAGGAGGTCAGAACCTTAGCCATCTGGATATCTGGGGGAAGAGCTGCACAGGCGAAGACTAGTGTTATCCACGTGACGAGGACTCAGCAGGGAGACCAAGGTGGCCGGTGTGGAAGGAGGCTGGAGTGTGGCCAGAACACAGAGGGAGGAGATCAAGACTACAAGCTCTTGTAGGTTTTGCTGTGGCAAAGCAGGCCAGAGCTTAGTGGTAGAACACTTGCCTGGCATGCACGAGGCCCTGGCTTCAGTCCCCAACATGGCCAAAAGAAAAATGTTAGCTTTTAGCAGCATACACCTGTAGTCCTGGCTACTCAAGAAGCTTCGACCAGATGATTTGTGAGTGTGCCAGCTTGAAACTCCCGAGCACCTCAAAAACAAAAAGATGTTAGCTTTTATTCTGAGAGAACAGGGAGCCTCTAGAAGGTTCTGGGCAAGAGTGATGTGACTTGACTTGCTTCTGTGTGGATGGGAGGCTGAATTCCACATAAGGAGGAGGCTGTACAGTACTGGGGTGGAATCCAGGTGGCAGCAGTGGTGACAAGTGGTAGAATTCTGCTTATTTTTTGAACATGCAGCCAGGTATGCCACAGATAGTAGAGGTGCATGAAAAAGGCAGGTGTCAAAGAAACTGGGAGATGCAGTAGAGAAACCCGCGGGCAGCGCAGGACAGTTGTTTCGGACATGCTGAGCTTGACATGCCTGTCACGCCGCCAGGTGGTCAAGCGGAACAGAAAGATGGCTTTATGATGATGATGTCCCTGCAGGAAGATGTCACTGACACACCGACAGTGTTTAATGCCATGGCATAGATAAGATTAAGAGAGAAATGTAATTGGAGAAGAGAAGAGGACTGAGCCAAGGGGATTTTTTATAACCTTAAAATCTGAGAGGGGAGAAGGAGCCAACAAATGGCATTTAGAGCAAATACTAAAGAAGAAAGAAAATCAAGAGATTGTAGAAGTCCAGGAAACAGGTAAACAAAGTGTTTTCTAGGAAGACAGAGGAATGAAACATGCCGCACGGCATTGTCAGGCAGGGGGAGGTGAACCCAGCTGCTGACTGGAGCAGGGCAGAGCCCTGCGAGCTTCACGAGCTTCACGGGGTTCCGGCCAGTGGGGTTGGAGACTTGGATGGGACGGGCTCAGGAGGTGTCAGGGTGATGGGAGTTGGACGTAACAAGCTAGTGTAAGGAGCTGTTTCAAGAAATTTTTTTTTTTTTTTTTTTTTTTTGTCTTTTTCCTTTTTACCGGTACCAGGGATCGAACTCACGACTGCCTGCTTTCAAGGCAGGCGCTTATGCCGCTGAGCTAAACCCCCAGCCCCAAGAAATTTTTGCTAGTAAGAATAGCGAACATATAGAGCAATAGCTGGAGGCGAACATGGAGATCCTTTTAAACTGGGAGAAGCACTGGTCGGTTTGATTGCTGATAGTGAGAATGACGCAGGAGAGTGGAAAATTGATGTCGGAGAGCAGCAAAGAATAGCCAGAGCCGGTCCTTGAACAAGAGGGTTGGGATGTGTGAGTCAGTAGGGGTCTGGCCTTCGGCATTTGGACAGGTTTATTCATGTGACAAGCGGAGGGCAGAGCAGGTAGGGCCCGAGTTGGCGGGACAGTAAATGTGGAGGTGGAAGTCTACCGAAATTTCTCCTGATTGTTTCCGTTTCTCCAGGATATTGGAAACAGCTGAGTGAGGGTGAAACGGGACACAGAGGGAGTGTGAAGAGCGAGCAGAATGGGGGGAACGGGTGGCATGGCAAATCGCAGAGGGGACTGAAGGGACTAGGGACCAGGGATTGCGGAATGCAAAGTGAGAGCAGGTGCTGCTGTGAGTCTTCCCCTGCTGTGTTCAGCTGTCTGGGTGCAAATGCAGGTGAGGGGGAGAACTGGCTTTACCTGGGCTTGGAATTTTGCCGGCAGAGAGTGACAAGGAGAGAAAGAGACAGAGGAACTGAGACACAGAGCCAGGTACTGGTGGTAATGATTGATGGAGGCAGAGAGAGCAGACAGACGCGCTCATGAGAGGCAGGAGTGGGCGGGCAAGGAGATGGTCCATGTGCAGGAGCTGACGGCTTCCAGGACCAGCCTGGGAGAGACAGCGGGGAGTCCGGTCAGGGGTGCTGATAGTGACGGAGCCCAGGCAAGACTTCGTGGGGTGACGGGCCCAGAGAGCTGCGCGACCCCGGAGCCAGAGGCTGACAGCCAGAGCAGGGTTTGTCTCACCAGTCAGAGGCAGGAGTGAGCACAGTGAGAGTAACACCGAGCCAAATATTAACAGCATAAGATGACTACTTTCTAGTAGGTCAAAGATGATAATGTTCAGTTATGGGGCAGAATAAATATCCAGTTTTGTATGTTTTATACAACATGCCAAAACAAAACCAAGTGGTTATATAAATACTTTATAATTTAATAAGAAAGCAGTATCTATGAATAAAAACAATTCCATATTCTTTATAGTTTTTTATGTCTGCCATTAAAACATAAAAATGTTCTATCATCTACATGTATGCATGTGCATCAAAAATCAAAAATTAGCAAGTAAGTAGAAGAGTTACATTAAACCTCAGAAACTTCCCTAACGCTGTCTCTGCCATGACCTCAGTGTAGGGTGCCGGCTGCAACTCGAGGCCTCCTCCACCTGAACAGTGTACTTGCCAGAAGTAGCTTTGTGTGTCAGTCTGCTTATCATAATTGCGTACATTAATAAAATATTACATGTACTAATGAAATACAGGTGAGGGAAAACAGTCATTTCTGTATGACTAATGAAATGTTTTGGAAAGATTCAAGAAAAGGCTTTTTTTCCTTGTCAAATTAGACGAGGGTAAGCAACTGTAAAATACTTAGAGGCAGTCATCTTCTCCACGGCTGCTGTACTGACAGTTTCGCAAGTTCTTGTTCTTCATAAAAAAGAGCAAACTATAAGTTGTAGCTACATTTGGAGATTTGCCTGAGAACTCCAACCCAGAGAAGAAACAGTTCAAAGTCCTGCATCAGAAACTATGGAATGAGTGAGCATCTGTTTGTTTCAGGTTAAAAATAATGTTTCAAGTACCTGTATCATTATTTTTAATGTTTTCATCATTTAACTGTCTTTTTCCACTGATGTAGGAGAAAACGCTTTATTTATGGAATTTAGTAGCCAAATTATGTTTTAATTGTGCATGGAATATTAGTGGTTGTTTTCTTTTTGTTATAAAAATTGGCCTTATTTTATATCCCAAGTCTCAGATTAATCCAAAAAAAGAGCTTCAGGTAGCAGCTACACAATAGATCTCAAAATAGATCTTGAGAGCTAATTTTTTATTAAATTTACCATTAGAATTATTCATTTTTCATGTCATTTTTGTGCTTTAAGTATTTTGTCTTACAGATAATAGCACTCAAACACATTACTAACCTTCCTTTCTCCTTTTGCAAGTTATCTGAAATAAAGCATTATTACGTGCTTCTTTGAGGCACACCTTTCAAAGTGAGGAGCACTTTTTGTGGTATAAGCAACACCACAAGCTGTTTTTCATTGATGTTTCTTTGTTTTTTGTGGTACTGAGGACTGAACCAGAGTCATCACACTGAGCAGAGTCCCTGGCCCTTTTTACCTTGAGACAGGGTCTTGCTAAGTCTACCGAGGTTGGCTCAAGCTGGCAGCCCTCTGGCCTGTGCCACCACACCTGGAGGCCTGGCCTTCCTTACATGTGCTCAGAGCTGCTTTCTCCTGTCCCTGGGCCACACTGGCTGCAGCGGTGCCACTGCGGTTTGGCAGTGGCAGTGGCGGTGTGAAGAGACCGTGCTGTGAGCAGCTGGTCCCCGTCCTGCAGAAGACTCGCTTGTGAACACAGCAGAAAGACCGGCGCAGCAGCAGCTGGGACTGCAGCGGAGGAGACAGGAGAGAAGAGGGCAAAATACACAGCCTGGACAACTCTTTTCAACAGCCGTCTTCTGTCCAGAGTCACGCTCAAGCCTGCAGAAAGTCTGTGACCCTCTAGAGCGTGCTCCTCTGCCTTCGGAGTTTTTAGAGTTAAAAAGGGGGCAACAGATTGAAAGTAAAAGTTTTTAGTCTAATGCTTTGTTTAGTGAAAAACTGTACACATATGCTAGTTACTTTATGTTCCATCCACCTTGCTTTAGAGGACACTAGGAGCATGTGGCGCTGGAGGAGGTCTTGAGTCCTCACGCGCCTCCGAGCCTCAGTTTCTTCCCTCAGAGGATGAGAAGCGTGAGACACCAGGACGGCCTGAGAGTTGAGCGAGCGTCTGTGGAAATGCCACGCACAGGCCCGCACACAGTCGGCCCTCAGATGGGAGGCGGTGTGTGCTTGCTGCGGCCCTTGTGCCGGTGTCACCCAGCAGGCTCTAGCAAAGGTGCACGCGTTGTTTTCAAAGACTACAGGTTGTCATTGCCACAAAATACAGATTGCTTGGTGAGGTGGCTGAGTGTGTCCTGTTAGTCTTTCTGTGGAAATCAAATTTGATGGTTTCCATTGACATCTTTCACCCTGGTGCTGCCCATTTCCTCTGGATTGTGTGCAGGAGATTCCACAGCTGCTGTCACTCCCACTTCTCAAACTCCTGTCCTGCCCTCATTACCAAATTGCGGGGGATGGGCTATTATGATTTCCAGTTGTTTTTTTCTTTCTTGCAGTGCTGGGCAGTGAAACCCGGGCCTTGGGTGTGCTGACCACTCTACCAGTGAGATACATCCTCAGACCTTTTGATTTTTATTTTGAGGCAGTATCTCGCTGAGTTATCCAAATTGGTGTCAAACCTGCTACGCTCCTTCCTTAGCCTTCCTGGGCTTTCTGGCACCCAGTTTCCTTTTTAATTCAATGAATCTGTAGTACTGTTTTGTTTGTTTGTACCATGAGTCGAACCCAGTACCTCTGCACTTGCCAGGCAGGTGCTGTGCTGCTGAGCTATGTTCCTGGCCCTGTGGCACTGTTGGTAGAAAAAAGACAGAACAGGGGCCTGGTGTGGTGGTAGATGACTGTAATCCTAGCACTCTAGGGTGAGGCAGGAGGATCATAATTCTAACCCTGCATGGCCACGTGGTGACTTGGCAAGACTGTCTCAAAATAAACATTTTTTAAAAAGAGGAGAAGGGCCATGGATGTAACTCAGTGAAGGTCCTGGGTCCTGTTTATCCCCAGTACTGGGGGAAAAAAAGTAGAGCAGGAGGAAAGTTACTCGAGTTGTTAAGAAGATGATTTGAAAAGAAAAATGCTAGGAAGTTCAAGAATTTCCTGGCGACGTTTTAATTGTCTTGGTGAGGACTGATGACTGATTGGAGAATAAAAAGGTAGAGAAAAGGGTAAGTGGAAGAAACAGTAAATACCAGAAGGATCTGGCAGCCATTTGGATTATAGTTAGAAGGAAGACAGCAGCCAGGTGATTTAGTTTCTAGCTCAACTGATTGGGTGTCATCATAAGCCAATTTGGTAATTACAAAGAAGAAATTGGAGTTTGGGACAGAGAAGGGAGAGAGATAATGTAATTAATTTCTGGCATTTTGAATTTGAAGGACATGTGGGATGCCCTAATATCTAGTAGGTAGCTAGAAATTTAAGGGGAGATACAAACTTTTACATACAAAACACAGCCGCTGGTGTGTGGAGCTGTTAAAGCTGTGGAAATAGACGCTGTCTTGCCATTTTGCTGAGTTTTGGAGTTTCTCTGATTATGAATGATTATTTTAAGGAAACTAATAATTTTTATAACCTTAATTTTAATCTTTCAAAATGGTGATGTGGATATAGTACTAGTCACTTTAATTGCTTTGTCCCGTCATAGGAGCTGATGCAGCAGAATGGGATTGGTTATGTGTTAAACGCCAGCAGTACCTGTCCGAAGCCTGACTTCATTCCCGAGTCTCATTTCCTGCGGGTGCCTGTGAACGACAGCTTCTGTGAGAAAATTCTGCCATGGTTGGACAAATCAGTGGATTTCATTGGTAAGCAGCATTCCAGGTCTTTGGTTACTGTTATGTGTAAGTGTGGCCTCTCTCTCCTCCTTTTGTCTTTAGAGGAAAGAAACCTACTGACATTCAGAAATGTCAGAACTCTGAAAACAATACATGCTGTTGCTTATTTACTCAGTGGTCAAGGTGACATGCTTGTCATACTAGCCCTAAAGGACTGGCCTTGTGACCTGCTGGCTGTAAACAGTGTCGAAGTTAATTAAGCTTTCACAGGTCTGTGATTGTGTGTTGTGTCTGAAAATCAGTGAGTCTTCTGGAGTCAAACTCCATGTTTCCTCTTTAAATCCGACAAGGAGCTCAGGGAGACTTTATGAGTGAGTAGTCCCTGTTGCACTGCTGCTAAATGTTTGCCAGAGAAAAGTCAATTCTGTGAAAAAAAACAAATCCCGTTTTCCTTTAAAGCCTTTTTGATGACATGAGATGTAGGCGCCTTAGTTCCTGTGTTAGTTTTCTTTCTGGGTCTGGTAAAATCCCAACACAGACGCTCACAAGCACCTCCACCTGGTCATCCCTTTGAGGGTGTTGACGGCACTGATCAGTGAGCCCTGTTCTGTCTCTGGGACCTGGTCAGGAGCTCTTGCCTCTGGGTGCTATTGTGACCCTTTGATGCCATAGGATCAGGCCTCCTGGCAGGAAGTGGGCAATGTGCATGCGAGGGGAACTCACTGGACAGTGGCTGCACACAGGCAGGAACGGCTCCCTCTGAGGCAGTGTAACAAGGTGGTGACTGTCACCAGCCATGGGAGGAGTTATTCTTTCCCTCACAGCCATATCAATGTGAGCTCTCCACTTCATTCTTGAATACTTAAGTGCTTACTATAATTAAAAGGGCAAGTTCCTTTAAAAACGTAAAATTGTAGTCAAGCCCCTGTTCTGTATTTGATTTGAGGGGAATTTCTAGGCAATGCCTTTAGAGTGCTAGGTAATTCTGAAGCAGTTTTCTTCAAGATTGTCAAGGGCTTTCATTGTCAACAACTCATTCAGTGAAATATCCAAATAATAAGCAGCTATGATTGTTTTAATATGAACTGCCACAAAGAAAATTTTCAATATGAACTCTTCTCATTGTATTTTCAGAAATACATTCAGCACACAACTCGGGTTTTGCCTCTTCAAAAGAGCAGCAGTTATGGTTAAAGTTCTCATTGCATGTCATATTGATCCAGAGACATTTGGCTCTAGTTTCAGCTAGAAGTACAATTTGAAAATCTTTGCAGAAGAATGAGAATGTGATTTGGTTGTGACCACTTACCCACCTTTAATTTGCTTGGTCCTATTTACTGTCCTATTTATTGTGTCCCACCCAAATACAAGGAAGGACTCCGCATGTTCATATCCTCACAGTTGCTAGTCATCTGCATGTGTGTTTCCAGCCACGGTGGTCATGGCAATGTGTGTGACACAAACATGCACCCCATACCTGGACTCAACAGTCTGAAGGCTTATAGAATTTCTTTTCTTTTTATTTAAATTTCAGTAAGTCTCTGGGTTTGGAGGGAGAGCTCAGGTCATGGTGGAATTTTCTCTCTTTAGTGAACAGGCAGCAGTATCTGTTGACCTGTTGTGCTGTGGGGTCCTCACAAGGCACCCCTTGCCCAGCTGGCTGCTACTACAAGCCCTGCTAACTCCTCAGCGCCTCGGCTCCTGCCTGGCTCCCCACACCAGGTGCAGGACCTGTGAGAGCGATGTAGGGAGGTCATTGCGATTGTGGACTTTGGAGCCCAACTGTTCTTGAGCCCTGTGTCCCTGGCTGTTAGCTAAGTGATTTGGGTCAGGGTACTTCAAACTTCTGTGTCCTGGTTTCCTGAACTGGAAACTTGGATAATTTACCTACCTTATAGGGATATACTGAACTGGGTACTAAAGCAAGACTGAACACCTTCCAGAGTAGCTGGCTCTCACTGTTTTATTTTTTAAGGGGGGGGGGTGCTCACTATGTTGCCCAGGTTGGCCTCAAACTGCTGAGCTCAAGCAATACTCTGGTGTAGCTGGGACCACCAGCACTGTCACCATATCCAGCCAATAAATATTTTTAAGGTTGTCATGAGAAGTGTCCCCTGTCCTCTGTTATTACTGCCTTCTTTTTAGTTCTGGAGGTCTTTGTCACTAGGTTCTTGTTTGTTTGTGGTTCTTTTTCCCCTCGCGTAGCCTGGATTTTTAGAGTTTAATCTCAGTAACATCACCCTGCTGTGTTCCAGTTGCACTGTCACCGCCTTCTTGCTCTGTTTGGAACCTGCAGAGGCTCCTTCATCTCCTGCGTACACGTGTCCTCAGCCTGACATCCCCAATAGCCCCTCTGCCAGCAGTCTCCACCTTTGGAGCCTTCTCTCTACTTGTTTCCCACACAGCTTGTGAGCAGCAGCCGCACCAGGCTGCCGTGGCACTGTGTCCCTTTCCACTGGGGGGCTTTCTCATCACGTTTCCGGCGCTCAGTCAGGCAGACCCAGCCTAGCACTCACATCTGCCGGAACCAGTGTGCCGAGGGAACCAACTCCAGTATAAGCTCTCTTTGATTCTCAACAATACATTATCAAAACAGTTGTGGTTGCAAAAACAATGTAAGCACAATACCCAAAATTTGAAAAATAGAAACATAACCTTGACATCATAACATGGTACTGTCATTTTATTTCCTTCCAACCTTTTTCAGGTTTTCTGTAAAGACTGCTTTTTATTGTATGGATTAGCCAGCCAGTATGACCCGTGTGCACACTGGGAGCCTAGCACTAGAGCCTTTGGAGGAATGTTAGAACCAGGAAAGACCATTCGAGGTCTTCACGGTCCAATTTTTGAGATACTTATTTAAAATAACGAGAGCATGGTCAATATTTGGGGGGAAAAACTTACACCAAACCTACTTTTAATAAGTATGTGAAGCGGTTTTCAGTAAGGTTTTGGGACCAAAAGAATATACCTGTTCACATGCATTAAGATGGGATACAAGAGCAAGAACCAAGCAAGATGGGACCAGGAAAGGTACAGTAACTATATGGAAAATCTGAATGCTGAGTGTATGGGGCCAGTGCTGTCCAGTTGAGAACTGTGCAGGCAAGAGGCTTCATGTATTGTTTTGTACAGTGCAGTAATCATCTTTCAGTGTTGCATTGTGTCTTGGTTACTTTTTTCTTGTTGCTGGGACAAAATACCCAAAACTCAAGGAAGGAAAGGTTCACTTATTTAGCTAAGTTTGAGGAGGTTTCAGCCCCTACTCAGTAGGTTCCAAGGCAGAGTGGCACATGGCAGAGGGCAACAGTTCATGACAGCAGAAAACAGAACAAGCAGAAAAGCAAAAGGGGACGAACACAGAGAGAAGATTCTGTCCCTTGTATTGTATGTAGGCCACATCCATTTGGTGTAGCACTCACACCCATAATCTCAGCATTGGACCATGAGGCTGCTCTAGAAGCCTGCTGCCGCAACTGCATGAGGCTTTAGGGGACATCCAGACTCAAACCACAACACATTGTATTCATCTGTATTGTTGTATTGTGTTTAGTTTTCTTATCTAGAAGGGAAGTGTATTCATGTACTATTCAAAACTTATAGGTTGTTTTTACAAAATGAATGAGTACAGTGGTACCTTGGTTCAGGAACTCAAATCTCTCCACAATTCTGGTCACAAACAAAACTGGATGAGAAGTCAATCAGATTTCTCCTAAGGTCAACACTGAACCTAACCACTGAATTTTATTGGATTTTTGTCCAACTCAGTTTGTCGTCAGAATTGGGGAAAGAATCAAGTTCATGAACCAAGGAGCCACTGTATATTGTATACACTAGAAGTTTGTACTGTTTATAACACAGGCAGTGAGATAGTTGTCTTGTGTTATGCAGCTGCAAGAGCAGCAGATTCCTTGGATGCTTGTTAATTTTAAGAATTTTAAGTTTTGATAAACTCTTCATAATACCAGTTAAAACAAAAATGAGAAAGGAAAAATTAGCCTGTAATCCCACCACTCTGGGAGGCTGAGGCATGATTGCACATTCAAGTCCAACCTGGACAGTATTGAAAATGAAAAAAAAGGGCTAGGGACATAGCTAGGGTGAAGGCCCTGGGTCCAGTACAAGAGAAAGGGAAAAAGATGGAGGAAAGAGAGGTGGCAGCTTCATGGCAGCAGCTTTATGGCTAAGCACACAGTAACTGAGAACTAGGACGGCCCAAGTGCTGCCTGCCAGTGGGTGCACTTCCGGTCTCTTCAGAGCAGCTCTGTCTGCTCCCACAGGAAGTGCAAGATAGTAGTGCTCTGGGAATCTCCCTGGTTCTTTGGTCCCAACAAAGCATCCCTGCCTCTTTCTTTTGTGATACGATGAACTGAGATGATGTAATAAGACCACAATTTCTGAGTGTCAAGAATTAAAGGCTTAGTATTAGTGACTAATAACTCTGGCCCCTAGCATAGATGTGATTTTTTCCCTAAATTCAGCAAGTTGAGTCATTTTATGGCATATAACAATGTTTCCTAAACACACCCAAATTCATGAATATAGGTTAATGAATTTCAGCATTTTAAAAGTAACTTCAGTTGGGGGCATGTGGCTCAGTGGTGCACTCATGCTTGAGGCCTGGGTTCAATCCTCAAGGTTGGGAGAGGAAAAAAATATTTCTGATGTCTTTTGTGTTATGCTGTGATATCATTTGTGATGGAGCCTCTTCCTCCTTCCACTCTCCTTCATTTCTAAACAGCAGTATATCTCCCGTATATTTCCATACATTTGAAATGAAAATAGATCTTTTTAAATTGGGTAAAATCAAAGTATAAGATAACCTGAGGAAACAATATTACCTATGTCTTAGTGGTTGACTTTTGGATGGTTCTTATTTCCTTTATACTATACAGTTTTCTGTATTTAAAGAAATTTTCTACACTAAGCAAGCAGACCCATGTAATGTAGTATTTATATCCTGTGCATTTTATTAAAATGATGATGTAAAAACTATCAAATAATCAGACAACTTGAGTTAGTAATGTCACTTATTAACATGCTTAGACCTGAAGTGTCCGTCGTGTGTTCCAGGGGGAGGAGATGGCTTCCTCGCCCTCCTCAGAGGAACAGTGAAAGGTAATTCTGCTGTACAGGTGAAGACACTGGGTAAATGCAAACAAGATTTCGTTGCCAAACACAATTTTTACCAGTGCCCTTTGCTGAATTTCACTCTTGCAGAGAAAGCAAAAGCCTCCAATGGATGTGTCCTGGTCCACTGTTTAGCTGGGATCTCTCGCTCTGCCACCATTGCTATCGCCTACATCATGAAGAGGATGGACTTGTCTTTAGATGAGGCTTACAGGTGAGGACAGAGTCATGGCTCACATGACTGGCTTTTCATTTGCTCTGAAATATGAAGAGGTTCAATGTTGGTAAGACCCAGATTAAAGCAAATCACAGTTACTTTAATCACACTCTTTATAGTTTCCTGCGGATGTTTTAAATGGTCCTACCAAGGCTGGAAAAGAATGCAGTTTTAATATTTAGCATCCAGTCTGCCCTAATGTGTCATATTTATCCTCAGCTACTTTTTAAGTTCCAGCCAGGGATTTCCCTTCTGGGAGTGAGCTAGGAGAAGTTTCTGTAGTTCTAATTTGCAAATGAGGGGAGATGGCACAAGTAGAATGTTTATTACCAATCGACTCTGCTCAGACTTCGTATTTCTGTGAGGAAAAAGCCGAATACATGCAAGTGTAAAATTAGCCATCAAACTCTCTGACTGAAATTTCCTACATTCTGCATCTGGCTGAATTTTGCAGTGTGTAACTTTGACCCACCAGAATGCAAGCTCCTTTTTTCTCACAAGGGAAAGTGTACAGGTGGCCATACTGCTTAGGCCTGGAGCTAGTTTGATGACAGAGTCTGGGTTGGGCGCATCTCATGGAGTGGACATGGCCAATTTTCATGCAGTAAACTTTGCATAAAGCAAGCTTATTAACAGCTGGACTTCTCAAGCTGTAATTTGGAAAAAAGAAATCAGCTTCCTCGATAGCGTGTCTGGAGGGCTGGTGGCTGCTGTGCCTGCCTGGCTTCCTCACTGCAGATCTGCCTGCTCTCATCCTCACATCATGTGAGGGAGTTCTTTCCCGACACCCCTGTGTTTGTACTTGTTACAGCTGAACCAGTCATTTTTGGCTATGTTCACTGGATGTAGGAATTTATTTTTAATTCTTCCTATTCCCTATTCAAATGCAAGTTTCAGTGTAGTTTAACTCCTGTGTCATATGACAAATATCCATGAGCTTCAAGCACCACTGAAGAATTTACCTAGTACCTGTGTTTGTTAAAATTCATTACTAGTTTTGATCTCTTGAGGTCTTTTTTTAACATGGTGATTACAAAATTAGACCCAGACATTAGACAGATTTGGCTTTGAAGCCCAGCACTATCATTTGCTAGCTCTGATTCTGGACCAGTCCACCTAAGGACTTTGTACCTATGTGAGGATAACCACCCCTGAAACAGGGTAGGTCTGAGGGCTGAACTGCTAATTCACTGCTTTAGTATGGTGCTTAGCACCCACAGAGCACTTTGTTGCTGCTTCATCTGTCATGCTGAGTACAAAGAAAGTAAGTCAGAATTCGGTGCCCTGATACTTTGACCATCTGATATCATCTTTACTAATTAGCTTAAAGTATGGAATGTCTTAAAATGACTGGAGATATCAAAAGGGGATATTAGGAAATGAACCCTGGCAAGTGATTGTTCTTTGCTTCTGACAGTAGCACTGGTGGACATGTACACGTGTGTCCTTGGTGGTATGTAGATACCCTCTTCTCAGTTGCGCTGGGAACGGTATATCCTTGAGCGTCAGGAAAATACTAGAACTCCGAGGCCTGGTGCCCTGTCTTAGGATGTGACAGAGTTCCTTGTATCTGGCTTTAGAGGCCACCCTAAACTTGCACCCTAGTCATCCATTTTTTTCACTTAATAGTCTTAAGTGTGGTGGTAAAATCAGTTTTTGCTTTTTCCTCTCTTCACAGATTTGTGAAAGAAAAAAGACCTACTATATCTCCCAATTTCAATTTTCTGGGCCAACTTCTGGACTATGAGAAGAAGATCAAGAACCAGACTGGAGCATCAGGGCCAAAGAGCAAACTCAAGCTGCTACACCTGGAGAAGTCAAATGACCCCGTCCCTGCAGTCTCGGAGGGTGGACAGAAGAACGAGTTGTCCCTCAATCCATGCTGTGCCAACTCTGCTACCTCAGAGGCAGTCGGGCAAAGGCCTCTGCACCCTGCCAGCGTGCCCAGTGTGCAGCCACCACTCTTAGAGGACAGTCCCCTGGTACAGGCACTCAATGGGCTCCACCTGTCCTCAGACAAGCTGGAAGACAGCAATAAGCTCAAACGTTCCTTCTCTCTGGATATTAAATCGGTTTCGTATTCGGCCAGCATGGCAGCCTCCTTACACGGCTTCTCCTCAGAAGATGCTTTGGAATACTACAAACCCTCCACTGCCCTGGATGGGACCAGCAAACTCTGCCAGTTCTCCCCAGTTCAGGAAGTGTCAGAGCAGACTCCGGAAACCACCCCAGATAAGGAGGAAGCCCACATCCCCAAGAAGGCCCAGCCGGCCAGGCCTCCGGAGGGCCAGGGCAAGCGACTGCACACAGTAAGAACCAGCAGCGGCGGTGCCACCCAGAGGCCCCTCTTAGCTCCACTGCAGCGAAGTGGGAGTGTGGAGGACAATTACCACACCAACTTCCTCTTTGGCCTTTCCACCAGCCAGCAGCACCTCGCCAAGTCTGCCGCCGGGCTGGGCCTCAAGGGCTGGCACTCGGACATCTTGTCTCCCCAGACCTCTACGCCCTCCTTGACCAACAGTTGGTATTTTGCCACGGAGTGCTCTCACTTCTACTCTGCTTCAGCCATCTACGGAGGCAGTGCCAGCTACTCTGCCTACAGCTGCAGCCAGCTGCCCACTTGTGGCGACCAAGTCTATTCTGTGCGTAGGCGGCAGAAGCCAGGTGACAGGGCTGACTCTCGGCGGAGCTGGCATGAAGAGAGCCCCTTTGAAAAGCAGTTTAAACGCAGAAGCTGCCAGATGGAATTTGGAGAGAGCATCAGGTCTGAGAACAGGTCGCGGGAAGAGCTGGGGAAAGTGGGGAGTCAGTCTAGCTTTTCAGGCAGCATGGAAATCATTGAGGTCTCCTGAGGAGGATGCTTGTGATGACTATTGACAGTTCTTGTTCACAAAAAATGTTCCCTGTAAATCTGAAATATGTATGTGTATATACATATATATTTTTGGAAAATGGCACTATGGTGTAAAGCAAAAGATGGATCAACGCAGTTGTTCTCTCTCACCTGCATTTGAGAGATCAGCTAATAGTTCTCTCAACAAAAGTGGAAGGGCAGATGCTAGAATTCCCCCTAACCAGAGTAAATGATGCTATTCAGTGAATCATGCATCTTCTCATTCCTACAAAACAAATTTGGTTTTTGAGGACAAGATCTTCTGCCCTTGTCACATCATGCTGCAAAGAGATCTCAAATACTCCCTGACCTTTGTCCAGCCCCTTCCGTAGTGCACCTTAGTGCTGAGACTGAGCCAGCTGTGGGTCGAGTGCATCCTCTTAGGGACTGAACCTTACGGTAAATTCAAGAGAAGCGATCCTCTCCAAAGCTGACGGACAGACCCAAGCTTACCCAACAGCGGAGTGATGCGAACATCATTCTGCTGGACAGACCATTAGGGGCCTTGCCCGGATCTACTTTAGAACAAACCTAGTACCTCAGACAGGAAAGTCGGGGCTTTCACCACTACCATGTCTGGGAGCCCATTTTCTAGGCATTGTGCATATGTCGGCAGCGAGTCTGTTTTCAAACCAATGCAAATCTTATGTGCATGAAATTCCAGTTAGGTCTCAATGGAGTTTGTATTTCCCCCTCTTCCCAGCTTTAAGAAAGAGAAAGGCAACTACCTAGGATTTAACTTAGCCAGGAATCTGGCAATAAGATTTAAGCTCAAGTTGGGAGGCTAACCATGTCTACCTCCCTCTATAAATCAGAGTTGTTTAAAATGGGATTTTAAAATCCTTTAATTGAAGATTGACTTGGTTTAAAGCCAATGTGAATTACTTGAGTTGGTAACAGTGGCAGAACCTAAGTTCTCAGCCAAAATGTTTTTCATTTGTTTCATTGTAATGGATAGTAAAGTGTAAGAAAGAATTTTATAGGAAACCACCCTAGAGAGAAAACTAGAGAGTGATATTCAGGAAGGTAAAAGTTACTGAGAAGCAGAAAACATTTCCTTGATGGCTTTTTCCCCTTGGCATGAGGTGGAGGTGGTATTTTTGTAATTCTTTCAGACTTTCAGATTCACTAATAGAGCTGAGGAAGGTTTTGGGAAATGAGTATTCAGAATGATGGACGATGAAGAGAAGGCTGCTGGATGTGGCTGGGTTGTGAACAGAGTGGAAAGCCACAGCCTGCTGTTTTCAAACATCCCCCGCGTGTTTCTAGTATAAAATGGAGTGAGGTGAGGTGCTCTCTGTCCTTGACCTACAATCACTACACAGAATTAGTCCTGGCAGCTGAAAACAGGAGGTGATTAAAACAGTACACACGCGACAGTGCCGATCTGGCTCACCTTCCTGGCTAATGTTTTATCAACTATTGTGAGGTCCTCTTCTGAAGCCTTAATTCACAGCAGCAGCTTTTTGGGGGGTGAGGAAGTGGGGCAGGTGTTGTCATTGTTCTTTACTGTAAGTGTAGCTAGTTGCTGACTCATATCTCAGGTTTTTCTATGTTTGAGAAATGGACAGTCCTTTGACTAGGAGGTGACTTCATGTTTCCTATGGTGACTGCTAAAACCAGCACAGAAGGACATGATTCAGAACTGACTGGCTTGATCATGAGGGTTATGGGCTTCACAGATGTAACTGGCAGCGTGCAAATAATGATGTGGGTGTAAAACGAAGGCCAAGTGAGCTGCATGGGGAACGTGTCGTTACCACAGTGAAAAAGTTCTGTTAACTGACCTGATTTTTCTGTGTACACCTTTTATGTAATCACACATTCTCAAGATTTCACATGGTAATGTTGATGTGTCATGTATACAACCAATGTATAAAAAAGTTCTGTTTCAGAATCTGGTCACATCTGTCAAACATTTTAAAGAAACAAAACCAACAGCTCCATTGTTAAAGGCTGTTTCTGGAGGGTTAGGAGGTGGGTTTTAACAAAAAGGCTGGATAAAAGTTTGCCTTGTATCATTTAGGGTTTCTCTTGGCCATGGTCCCCTTCCTGCCTGTAATTGTGATGTCACGCACTACAGCCATTAGTCCTTGATCACTAATGTCACATAATCAGTTGGAATCAAGAATACCATGCCAAAGGGCAGCCTTGGGGGAAGTCCTGGGTGGCCCGTTGAGCGTGGTGGCTCCCTGCAGCACAGTCACAGGCCAGCAGCCCTGGAGTTGACTGGGGAATTAGAATGGCGATTCTACAGAGCAGAACTAGATTTCTATGTGAGAAATGCTGGAAAATGGTTTAGGACATTTGTAAAGCTAGGTGGAAAGGCTGTATAAATGTTTAATATGAATATAGTATTCCTTTGGAGTAAGGCAAACTGTTGAATGGTTGAATTGTGCATTTCTCGTTTTGGTGTGTCATGTATGTTAAATGATGAAATAAAATCAAAACTGGTACCTGTTTATACATAAATGTGAGAAAGGACCTCTTTGCTGAGAGACTTGGTAGGAACCGTGGTGACCAAGCTGCCAAACAAAGGCAGTAGTGGTAGAACCTTCCTGCTATTCTCAAGTAAAAGGATTTCACTCAAAATAAAGCGGTGGTGGTGTCAGATCTAGCATGTGCTGTCGTTCTCTGGACCCCTAGATCAGTGGCTGACACTAGTGCCTGCTGCCTCCCCTAAATGTGCACACCGTAGTGTAAAAACCTACAGCATTTGCTAAAGGTTCTTGTACACATGAGTACAGGATGGACAAAAGGCCAGCTATATAACCTGTGCACATTTTAGTATACTGTGTAATTTTGTATTTGCAGGACGAACAGAGTAAGGATAAGCAGTAGGGATTGTTCTCCAGCTATGCTATGCATGCCTTAATGACCTACCTCTGTGCTTATGATGTTGGATACGACATGGGACGAGTAGCTTAGTCTCGTGGATTTACAATTGTGCATTTGAGGAGATGAATTTGCCTTCAGTGCGGGCAGGAGGAATGACTATCAGCCAACTTGCAGTGACCTCATTGAACTTGGCTGTAAGAGACTTTTGAGCTGAAGTTAGATTTAAGAAAATTTAAAGGCAAGGATGATTATTAGGTCGGGTAAGCTAGCACGAGAACTAGCTTGGCTAGGGCACTGCAGAAAAACAGGTGGTAGGAAGGAAGAACAGCATTTGAGTGGCTCAGCCTTCAAAGAGGGAGGTGGTGGACAGCACAGGTGAGTCAGCGGCGACAAGGTTAGACAATGGCCAATCTCACTGTCCAGCAGTTGGAGGCTCTCAGAGACTAGTTTGGATCTGACACAAAAACTTAACTAAGGGGGAAATTAGGAAGGTGTAGGTTTCTGAGATGGGGGGTAGGGGGGAGCAGCAGAATTAAAATGAGCCCGGAGTGTCCAGAGATGGTGTGAAGGGTAGAGTGTGTATACCTGAACTAATTAATGAAAACTGTAGCTTAAAATGGTCACTTATTTTAAATACTCTTGTCTAGTGTTCTTTTCCTAACATTAGGCAGGAATATTTTAGGTGTAAACAGTACTTATCTAGGCACTTTGTTACTCTTCTACATCTATAAAAGGAAAATGGAGGTAAGTGATTTCTAGCATTCTGACAGCTCATCCATCCTTGCAGAACAGTATTATACAAATTTTTATCTTTAAAGTATTGTGAAATTAACACTGTCTTGAAAGATATTTACAAATCAGTCATATTGTTGCAGTTTGTGTTTACGTAAAAAGTTTCTTTAGGTACTAGATAAAACATCAGAATCAGTTAAAAAAAATAGTGTCCTAGGTGAAATGCAAAATATGGCTTTGAAGCAGTGTCCTAAGTGAACAGCATGAGTTGGAGAAGATTAGATCAGCTATGGTCTGGGCTATCCCTGGTGAGGGAACTACAATTTCAAAGTCTCAATTAAAAGTACACAAAAGCTTTTAGCATAAATTATGCCTCAAGGAATGAACCCTGACTGAAGAAAAACTATTTGGATCACCAGTAAATTCTATCAGGTAGTCTACTAACATGAGGACTCTGCAAATATCTCAGTGACAGTACACTGCAGAAGAAATCTACTTACTTTGTGGCAGCTGGGGAGAGCTACAGTGCATCTCCCCTTGGAGGGCACCCCATGACCTAGTTCCCTTCTACTAGGCCCCACCTGTTATGGTTTCTCCATCTTCCAGTAGCACATGGGCCCCTGAAGGGCACTGAAGATTCAAACCATAGCTCTGAGGCTCAGGACAAGAAAATGGCTCACCAGAGACAAAGGCTGGACTTCCACACCCGAGACCTCCCACAGTGGCCAGGTAAGTTCATATGAAGCAAGAACAAGGTCCACCATAAATGTCTCCTGCAATCCCAGTCATTCAGTCTCAGGATTCACTGGCAAAAAGCAAGCCACGGATGAGGGAAAGGGCTGGTGATGCTATGTCACCAGCAGGATTCAATCAACCATTAGGAATGGTGCAGAACATGGGGTGTGTCCAAGGGATCCCTGAGAAGCAGTGTCGGGAGCTGGTAACAGTTTGGGCTGGCAGGTGGTGGTCAGGAAGGTGCTCAGGGGAGGACAGCTGAGATCTGCACCTGTCCCCACCAGAACCCAGTGTTCGGCTCTCACCAGAACCTGCGGTGGCCGCTTGGAAACACCAAAGACAGGTTCTGGGGGAACTAGGGTGGCAGAGTTTGGTCCAGCTGCTGCCCATGCCAAGGGGCAGCAGAGCCCAGAAAATGCACAGGATGGCACAGGCACAGCTACTGCCGTACTCCCATCCACACTTATGCAGCAAGCTCTCACTGGAAAGAAACACAGAATGAATCTGTTGGATGAGAATGAGTTCACCTCTGCCAAAATGACATTACAAAACCATCATACCTCCTGCAGATCAACATGAACTCTTACAAAATGATTTAACCTACTGTTCGTTCTCTGCTTCTACCCAGTAAGAAGCAGACAATCATCTATGCATCTACTTAGGACACATCTTCATACGATGTTTAGTAAGAAGAAAGCTGGCTGCCTCAGAGGGTTTCATGACCGGCTGGGCCTGCCTTGCTGTCTGGCCCAAGCACACAGCACTGAAGCGGTGAGGAAGCCCCACTCACAGCTTCCTCAGCAGCATGGTTTGTGATTTTGTCAGTCACACTGAGGGCAGTGAGGACAATGGTTTCTGAGGCTCTGTAGACAGTCAGACATTTCCCCTTGGAAGGCTTCAAGGATAGTCCTGTGGTCAGAGTTGGGTTCCAAACATGGAACTCAAAAAACCTCAATGATGGTGATAGCTTTTAAAATGTCACTTCTTGCTCAGGCATGGTGGCACTTACCTATAATGCCAGCACTCTAGGAGGCTGAGGCAAGAGGGACAGTAAATTCAAGCCCAACTTGGGCAATTCAGCAAGACCCTGCATCAAAACTTGTTTTAAAAAGCAAAAAACTTACCTGTTAGACTATGTGAAGGAAATTCATTGTATTCATTCACTATGTACTGGTTGGAAATTTAAAATAATAGTGAGACCTAATCTAGCTATTTCAAATATTGAAATATACAGTACAAAACCAACAGCATGAAGCAGTACGAAAAAGATAATGGATTAGCACTGTCTGGCACTAGATCCTCAACTACATGATAGGATTCTGCAGATCACTAAAGGAAAAATGTGTCGTTTACTACAAGTGGCTGTCCCCATCGCCCCTCTTAACATTTCCTAGGGTAATCTTAGTTATTTAATAGCTTTCTAAGTTACAGCGCATCTTTCTTGGTTAGCGCTTTCTAATAAATTATTTGAGAAGTGGTTAAAGGACCCAGGAAAATTCTAATCACCAAAAAGAACCATAAGTATGCACTGCTTTCACCAGTGGCCAACGGAGGAACGAACAGCTCCCCACTTCCACTCCCTGCTCCGATTCTTTTGCATGACCTCCTTTACCTCCTCAGTGGACAGCTCCTCACCTTCCTGTGGGGAAGGGAAAGTGTCAGATACCAGGCAGGCAGAAGGGATCAAAAGATTGCCCCTAGAGATGCTTCTTTGGGCCTCTTCCCTTGGATCGACGTTCCAACTTGTCTTTTAGTTCAAAGGAAATGAACCATCTTGGTTCTTATTTTTGGTCATTAGAAAATAACTAGAAGCTAGGCAAGCACGCCTAAGTAACCCCAGCTTTCTAGGAAGCTGAGGCAAGAGGACTGCAAATCTGTGTCCAGTCTGGACAATTCAGTAAGGTCCCATCTCAAAATAAAACAAGTTGGGTGTGGCTCAGTGCAAAGGCCCTAGGTCTAAACAAGTGCTGCAAAAAAGAAAAGGCAGGAGAAAGGGAAGAAAAGGAGAGGAAGGAGGCAGAAGGAGGAAAAAAAAAGAGAAAGCAAATACTACAAACTATCTTTTCCTATACCTCAATTGAAACTTTTTTCCTGTGTAGTTTGAGCTTTTTTTTTTTTTTTTTTTTTTTTTGAGACAGGGTCTCGCTATGCAGTTCGGGCTGGCCCTCAACTCACTACATCGCCCAGGCTGGCTCTAACTCCTGGTAATCCTCCCCCTCTGCCTCCTGTAGTGCTGAGATCACAGTAATGGGCCACCTTGCCCAGCTCATGCTTTTTCTGTCCATCAGTTTTCTGTCCTACATTTTATTCTGGTTTCTATGAACCTTACAGGATAGTATCTGATTAGAATCACAAAGTTTAGCTGAGCTAGAGATATGCCCAAAGCAATTTCCAAGACACCTGGCAGGCCCAAGGCAGTCAGGCGGGAGGAGACCTCAGTCTGTCCCAGCCCTGTGGCTTCCTGAGGCCTCCCTCCGGCCTCTGGCCTTCCTGCTGCACCATGACAGCAGCAGTGGTGTTCATGGCATAGAACTGAGTGTTCTGGGTGTCAAACTGCCGTACTTCCCAAGGTCACACAGAAATTCTACAGCGCTTTGTGTTTTGTTTCTGTTTTCTGAAACAACAGGCAAGGCTGCCTTGCTACTGTGGCACCCAGCCCGCATGTCAGCAGGTCCCTGAAGCTGCAGAATGGTAACACCCAGCATCCCCATCGCTTGGTGGCCTGATGACTGCGAGTTTGGGCTCCACATTGGTCACATGCCCCAGGTCCTGCCAGCAGCAACTACTCAACAGAAACCTCAGCTTTGCACCAGGAAACCAATTTTCAATGGGACATGATGGGACAGGATGGGACAGGACAAGAATCTGAGGCTGCAGAGAGGGCGTCTTTGGTTTCTGATGATTCAGAAGGGACATGGGAACCTGGCAGATGACACCAGTGTCTCCCAAGACAGGAGGAAGATGCCGGCACAAGACTGGATGTGGCGGAAGCAGCTGTGGTAGGAACAATAACAGCACATAGACGTGGGTTGTTAGTCTTTATGGTTACAACTCATAACCCAGGGGTCCCGAGTAAAATTCAAAGGGCACCAAGGACATATAGCTAGTAAACTTTTTTCCCTTCTCTCCACATTTTCACTCCAGTACCTAAGACTATATATACACTCAATTAAAACAAAAAACAAGTGAATAAAAAACATGAGCAAAATAAAAAGAACTGTCAATGTAGGGTTCAGAGGTCGTTTTGGTTATTGGAGGCCAGTTCAGTTGGCTGTGCACCTGGCCAAGGTGCAGGGGGCAGTGGGGCCTGGTGCCCGCAGTTTCCTATGCTGCAGGAAGGACTGCTCCTCCGCCACTTCGGGCGCTCTGACCATGCACCTCGGCTCGGCTTGGCGAGATCCTACAGCCGGAGATCCCGCTCTGGCTTCATGCTGAAGGGCTCCAGACGCTCGCCCTCGGGCAGCAGGCTGTTGAGCCGCTCCATCAGGGGCACTGTCTGGTCAATGCCCATCTGGATGCGGCGCAGGATGGCAGACATCTCGTTGACTTTCTGGATCTGTTCGGCATATTTGGCATATCTTTTCTGGCGTTCCTGCATGAAGCTAAAGAGGGTTTCTACAGACAGATCCATCTGTAGAAGGCAAAACAAAAACAAAAAAACACATTACACTTGTTTACGCAAGCCCTCGAAAGGTCATGTGTCCAGCTAGAGGTTGAGTCACACAGATTAAGTGGAAGTTGCCTACTTTATAGGAAATAAGAGGGGACCTGAGAGGCTCCCTGAGAGGACCTGAGGGAGGAGAGCAAAGGGACTGAAAATGAGCAAGATGTTACACACACCTGCCAATCTCCCAAGTCAGCATCACTATTCTGTATTATGAACGTGCACTAAAAAACAGAAACAAACAAACAAAAAACAAAAACAAAACAGCTGCACTCTGACCAAGCTCTGGGGAAGAGAGAGGACTGTGCTCAGTTCTGTGCCAGGAGTTGGTGCTGTTTACACCCTGATGAGACCCAGAGATTGCCACATGAAAGCAGCCTGGGCTTCAGTGGATCAGAAGGAGCAGCATCAGAGAACCATCGTTTCAGCCAGTGCAAAGCTGCACCCACAACGTGCTCCTGTACACAGGTGCTGAAGAATCCGTCGCCTAGGGACAATGCGGCATGAGAAGGGGCAGCGCAACACACTCCTCGTGTCTGTGGCAACGACAGTACACACCCCTCTGCTCTGGGGCCATCTGCAAGCGCAGCAATGAGTTACTACAGGACATGACACTTGGCGGTGATCAACGCTGCCTTCCTGGCTGGCTTACTTACTGCCTACTGTTATTATTTTAGAATGGAGTCCTACTTATTTAAAAAAAAAAAACGGAACAGAGAAGAGCCTTGTGAAGTCCCACAGGAGGGATCCCAAAAGGCACAGGAGCAGGGGTGATTGTTCCACATGTGGCACTGCCCCTGAGCACTTTCCAGTGGGACATGATGTGGCGGGGAAGGTGGGGGTGCTGGCCATCCTGACCTAGGTGTGTCAGCGACCTTCTTTCAGCAATCCTGGGATGGAAGCCAGGCCTCATGTATGCTGGGCAAGTTATCCTCCACTGATCACATGTCCAGTCTCTAACTTCTAAGCAAAAAAGCTTAAAAAGAAAACTTTAAAAACTAAAGAAAGCTTGTAGAACAAGGCTATAAAGAAAAGCTTTGTACAGCTGTACATGTATTTAAACTCAGTATTAAGAGTCAAAAGGTTTTTCAAAAAATTTAGAAGATGCCAATTTGTGGTGGCCCACGCCCATAATCCCCATTACTCAAAAGCTTCAAAACCAGCCTGGGTAACTTAATTATGAGACCCTGGCTCAAAATAAAAAATAAAAAGTTGGGGATGTAGGTCAGTGTACAGTGTCCCTGGGTTTGATCAGTAATACTACACACACACACACACAAAAAGCTTAAAAAATAAATGTTACAGTAAGCTAAGCTTCATTTATTACTTTAGACACATTCTTATACATATAGTGCAGCCGAAGTGTGCAGTGTTTATAAAGCCCACAGGCCTGTGCAGTGACATTTAGGGCTTCGTAGTCATCCCACTCGCTGACACCCAGCCCGCAAGCACCAGCATGGCGCCCTCCCTCTTGCCTCCTTCCCTGTATCAGGAGGAACCCAGGGCTACTACACTGAGCTATCCTCCACCCCTTTGATACAGTTTTTCATCTTTGTGTCTTTCCCTCTTCCTGGAATGGCTGTGGCAGTGTGGCACTTGCTCACTAGGGAAACTGCAGGGGACAGCAGAGAGGATGGCACTCTCCCTGCCACGGGCCAGACACACGGGCCAGCCAGCTGCAGCTCACAGGGGGACCACACCACTGTGGACATTTGTGAGGACAGCTTCGTGTACCTTTCCCCTCCCAAGCAAACCTGTGACCTGCGTAAAACAAGGAGGGGCCACAGCCTCTCTCAGCTGCTGCTGCCACTGCCAGAACTTCCCTTCCCCTCTTCCTGTTCCACCTGGGAAGAACCACTTCTGCAGCAGTTCTGAAGGTGACTTCCACATCCCCTGCACCACCTAGTCCAGCCGCCCTTCCCATCTGCCTTCCAGTGTTCACCTCATCTTACCACTGAGCCTCAGAATATGACTTCAACAAAAACAAAGATCCGGTAGGAGACCAAACCCAGGTCTGAGAAAAAATAATCATTTTTTTCTCATTGCAATGGTAAACAGGGGAGGTGAGAAAACCACCTCATTGCTCATTTCTTCTAGGCTAATTTTCCCCCTTGCTCTGAAATGCCTTCTGACAGAAGTGGGAAGGGGAAGGACATCCACAACAGGAATCTCCGAAAGATGCAGAAAATGTCTCTGTATCCCTAACCAGTCTCTAGGGACTGTGGCAGCATGTGGGCAGTCACAGACTGGGCCTTTTGGGCCCATCCAGATACAGCACCTCCTGTGGGACAGTGGCTCAGAGGTCAATGAACACCCCTTAAGAACCAGCATGGCACACGGTAAGTGCCTGCTCCAGAAGCCCAATCTTTCTTGGATTATCACTCCCACCCCTACCCCCAACTCCACCAGAGAAGACAGATGCCAGAGTGTGTGTGATTAGCTCATCACGTTGGAAGTGGCTGGCAAGTAAGTCATCGGTCCCAATACACACCCCTCACCAGTTCTTACCGTCTCTGTGAGGCATTTCTGTTCCAGTGGCACATGCTTCCGTGCACATTTCTGCTTCTAGCTTAAGTCCATGTTTAACTCACCTCGAACTTGTGTCCCAAGCCACTTAAGCTCAATGCATAGGTGAGCACACAATTCCAAGCATGCTGTTCACACTTGCTTCTGTCACATCTTTCAAGAGCCAAGTCCACAGAAAGAAAACACCACAGGAGAGGAAAGATTGAGAGACCTCCCAGGTTTCACAGTGACAGAACCAAGGCCAGAACCCAGATTTCCACCTGGCATTTTCCTTTTAGGTGTATTTCCTGAGCGAGAGTTGTGGACCACTGGTGGTATATGAGACCTTAGGCAATTTGTGCATGGCATTGAACAATGCTAAGTCGTATGATGGAAGAGTTAGCACTTTTTAAATTCTTCCCTGTTCTTCATTGTGAAGAAGCTCACAATTTGGTGTAATAATTTAATACCTGGAGAAGTGTCAATAAAGTGTGATGTCAATTGATGATCCTTGCCTTTTGTTCTCAAGGCAACATGATCGTTAATCTGTAATGCTGACCTTTAATCCCTGAACTTCAGGTACATACTTTCTAACACTTCCACTGTGACTTCAGGCAATAAGCCGGAATCCAGTGCAACTCTGAACTCTTCATTTTGACATTAGAGCAATACATCCTTCTGTTTTGCCCCTCTTATTTCTATTTTTGGCACATAGATTCTAACTAGACAGCACACATATAAAGGTACTTCCATTCACAGGTTTGGCTTTTTTTTTTGGTCTTGGGGATCCAACTCACGACCTCACACTTACCAGGCAGACGCTTATGCTGCTGGGCTAAATCCCTGGCCCACAAACAGTTTTCTTTGTGAATCATTTGGCTGCAAACAGAGCATTTGGCAAAATTTTGTCTGCAAACTCTGCATGGGATGATGAACAAGACTCTAGTCATCTCTCTCACATGAACATGAACATGGCCATCGTCCTCAGAATCACGGAACTGTACTAATTGTAGTCCTCTTGATAAAGAAGCATCATGGAGTCATTTAAAGTCTCCTCACTGAATACGCCTTAGCCATTCATAAGGTAACTCTATAGCTAAGACAGGCAATCTAATAATCTATGCCAGTGATGGAAAACCGTTTAGAGCTTTCAATGATGCCAACAGCTCACTGTGGCACGTGTGCCACAGGTTCATCACCACTGATCTATGCCGTAACTGAAGGGTAGCCATGAGGCTCTCTGTGAAATGGACAGCTTAAATATTTTGCTCATCATTCACATCAGTCCCCTCATTGACCACGCATGCACTAGATGAAATAACAGACTCTATGTCTGACTGCTGAGGCTCAAGTGCCATCTGTTAGCTAGTATCTATGTAACTTAGTCAATGCAGATGCTACTGGGGCAAGGATTCCAATGTTGTAAATTCTGCTGTATCTTCAGTACCTATTGAATAGGAGGTCCTGAAAAAATATCTGTCACATGGGTGAAAAGTTATCTAATCTGTAAGTAGTGGAGATAACAGTGGCTACTTGAGGACTGTTCTGAGGACTCAGATACTGCATGTAGATCATTAACTACACTGCTGAGTGGTGCCGAGTGGAGTAAGCACCCACTAAATGTGTGGTGTTAATATATAACTAATCAGCAGACATTTATTTCGTACCATCATGTGCTGTGCCTCATGCCTCATCCTAAGGACACAGATATAGACACCAAAACTATTCATGCCCCCACAGCTACTATGTATATTAACAAGACACACCTCCTGACTAGCTTTAATATAACTTTAATATTCCAGGAAACTCAGGCAGGCCAGAGAGAAAAAAGTTGCAAATAACTTTGTTTCAGGAACTTGAAGAATATACAAACTTCTTGATTTTCCAATAAACAGTGAAAAACTGTTTATTCTCAACAACCAACGCCTGCCTCAAAACCCTCATACTGATGTGATCACATGACTGAATTCTAGGCAGTGGATGTGTGTGATTCTCACAGCAGCTTCTGGGGCCTTCCTGCAAGGCTGGCAGGCACATATTCAGTACTGCTCCTCTTCTCAGTTCCTTCCTCTTGCACGCTGCTGCTAGTCACTGTAGACCTTGGGCTGGCAGAGGAGTGAGCTAGGAGCCTGGGTCCCTGAGGATGCTGTGGGTTAAGAACAGTGCCAGACCAGACAATAAAGAATAAACTTTCATTTTGTATAAGGCACTGTAATTTGGGGTCTCTGTAACACTAGTTAAACAAGTGAGCTAAAGCCCCTTGCCTTCAAGAAATTTATGGTTTAATTAAACCCATACTTTAAACTTTGCTCTACATATAAATGTCCCGGCTCTGGGGGCAGTATATTTCAAAGGGCAAGTTTTTTTAAAAGATTATTTGGATTATAACGGTGGCTTCCTTAAGGCAGCTGATATCTACAGAATCTGCTCACACTTATCACAAATGCTTTAAATGGATGATGTGTGTCTATTTGCCCATCTCCTTGACTGACAGGCAAGTCAAACCCAGGAATATACAGAAGGGAAACAGCATTATGACAGTGATGTTACCTGAAGTAGTTAACCTTTTTTAGCCTCTGAATATCAAAGTAATTTAGCATTTCAACACAAAAAGGTTATAAATTATGTATTATTGTAGATGAAAAAAAAGGATCCCACAAATTCAATATGCGTTTCTTTTGAAAAACTTCAACAAAGGAAACTTTCCTAACCTGATAAAGGTATCTAACATCATAGTCACTGGTGAAGATACTTTGCTCCCCCATATCAAAAAGAAGCAGGAGTGTCCATTCTCACCACTTCTATTCAGTGTTATACTAAAAGGCCTTGCCAGAGTAGCAGATTAATAAAAAGAAATAAAAGGCATAGAAACTGGAAAGATATAGTCTATTTGCAGATAACATAACAGTGTACTTAAAAATCTTAAGGAAACTACCCCAAGCGAATTTAAGGAAGTTGCATGACATATGGTAAATATAAAATACTGTATTTTGTATATAGCAATGAACCACCAGAAAATGGAATAAAGTATAATTTACGGTTGTACCAATAATATGAAATAGTTTGGCAATACACAACAAAATATGTATGACTTACAAAATACTGCTGCAAAAATTAAAGAGCTAAACAATAAAATGGAGAACTACATCACATTCAGAGCTAAAAACACTGTTAAGATGTCAGTTCCTCCAAACTAGTCAAGAGTCAACTGCACTCAGAACAAAAACTCTAAAAGACTTGATAAGCTGATTCTATGTACACAGAATATCCCACAGGATTCTGAAAAAGAACAATTTGAAGACATGTAGCACTTGATTTCAAGTGTTATTATAAAGCTGCAAAAATCATGGTAATATGATACTGGTATAGAGACTTATAGATTAACAAACACAAAGTAAAAACAGATCTAAACATATAGTCAATTGATTTAATTTGTCATAAAAGTTTCAAGACAGTTCAATGGGAAAAGGAAAAAATTTCAACAGTTCTGGCTAGGGTAACTGCATATTTGTATGGAATAAAATGAAACAGGACCCCTAAATTTCATAGCACAACAGGGGGAATGGATATGATCAAGTATGCTATACATATATGAAAAAGTCAGTAAAACCCAGTATCTCTATAATTATATGCATTAATACAAAATTAACATGAAATGGATCACAGACCTAAATGTAGAAGCTAAAGAAAGGTTTAAAGCTAGAAGAAAATGTAAAAAAAAAAAAATCTATGATATCCTGAGACAGGCAGAGATTTCTTATGTTCAAAAAGCATTAACCATCCTATCAAATTAAAAAGTTTCTGTACAGCAAAGGAAACAATCAACAGAGTGAAGAGATAACCTAAATGAAAAAAAAAAAAAACCTGTCATCTAATATATATAAAGGACTAAAGAAAAATAAGATTCCCTCCCAAATGAAAGAACCAATCAAAAAATGGGCAAATGAAATTGACACTTAGCAGTACAAGTGGCCAGTAAATACATGAAAAAATTAACATCACTGGTCATGAGAGAAATGCCAATTAAAACAACACTGAGATTCCATCTTACTCTAGACAGAATAGGTATCATCAAGAAATAATTCTGTTAAAGCTGTGGGAGGAGAGGAGCCCTTCTAACTGTTGGTGAAAATGTAAACTATCAAGACCACTATGGAAATTAGCATGATGATTTCTCAAAAAGCTAAAACTAGAAATTCCACTTGATCCATATTCCCCATTCTAGGTATCTTAGCAAATTAGTTAAAGGCATCATATTATTGTGACACATGAATACTCATGTTTATAGCAGCACAATTTATAGCAATCTCCATGTTCATCCATAGATGAATGGATAAAGAAAATATGGCATTGTGTACACAATGGAGAAATACCTTACCACACAAAGGGTAAACCTGAATCATTTGTAGGAAAAGGATAAACCTTTAGACCACAATGGTAAGTGAAATAAATCAAACACACAAGCTTAAATATTGTATGATTTCTCTTACATGAGAAGCCCAAAGACAAATACAGAACAAAATAAAAGATAACAGAAAGTAGAAAGATAGACTTTTTTAAGTAGCAAGATGAAGAGAAGGAGGAAAAGAAGAAGGTGAAAAAAGAATCAAGATGTGTATGGTGAGGGTCTGGGGATTTAGCTCAGTGGCATAAGCGCCTGCCTTGAAAGCAGGCAGACATGAGTTCAATCCCCGGTACCGATAAAAAAGGAAAAAAAAAAGATGTGTATGGTGAATTAATGAACAGGCAACTAGAAATACCCACTTCTGGGTGTAGGGGGCCCACCTGAAGACTGTTGCCAACAACATAAAAGGAGAAAGGAAGATGGTGTGCTGGTGATTCTCCTGGCGAAGGTTGTCATCCTAAGTTTCCTGATAGGAACTCAGCTATTCTCATAATCGGGGGGGCTCGGGTCCTCGCTGTCATTGAGGATGGCTGCGGTCTCTTTGGGGGAGATCTGGTTCTTACCTTGAGCATCACTTGCATGCAGATCTCTGAGCTTGCTGGCATAGATCCTGCACCCCGCTGGTGCAGATTTTCTAGCTTCCACCATTGACCTTTGGGTCTTCTAGTACAGGTCCTTGGTACAGGCTTGCAAGCGACATTGTCACGGGTTCGAGGCCTCCAGTTAGATTTGTGGGGGATGCTGCCATGGCTTTAGGTGTTTAGCTGAACTTATTGTACAGGACCCTACCTCAGGGTCCAGGCCCTCAGGTGGATTCTTTGGGTCTAAGTGCATGGACAGATTTCCTGATCTCTTCTGCATTTGACTCTTTGGGTGAATATTTTAAAGTAATCCAATAAATTATATGTCCTGCATTAAATCTACTCCCTTGGAGCCCTGACGACAACAATGTGTTATGCACATGTACTCCCCACAAGGAGTGTAATAATTATGTAATGCATCATGGACTAATAAAAATGAAAAAAGCATTAAGCATGAAAGACAAATTGGTTGCTTTAAATTTAAAAATTCTCATTGTAAGGGGCTGGGGATTTAGCTCAGCGGCATAAGTGCCTGCCTTGTAAAGCAGGCAGTCGTGAGTTTGATCCCCGGTACCGATAAAAAGGAAAAAGACCAAAAAAAAAAAAAAAAAAAAAAAAATCTCATTGTAAGGTGCCCTGAAGAAAATAAATAATCCACAGACTAAGAATACATTCATAAAAATATACATACATCTAATAGCGGATTTACATCCAGAATATACAGAATATTTGTTAATTCAATATTAACAAAGCATCTAACTATCTCTATGGAAATGACTGTCTCCACAGAAATGGAAAAAAAAAAACACTCCAAAAATTCATATAGAATCACAGATCCTGAACAGCCAAACCAATCTTAACAAAAAAAAAAAATGAACTTGGAGGCATCATAATACCTGAATCCAAAATATACGGAAAGCTACAGCAACCAAAACTGCATGGTACTGATATAAAACACAGATACACAGACCAGTGAAACAGAACAGAAAACCCAGAAATAAATCCATGTATTTATAGCCAATAAATTTTTGACAAAGGCACCAAAAGCATACATTAGACAAAGTCTTTCAATAAATCATGCTAGAAAAGCTGGATATTTATTTGCAGAAGAACACTAGATCTTTATAAAGTAAACAAAAACCAATGCAAATTAATCAAATACATTCTTTTTTTTTTAAAGGCATTCTTAAAACTATGAAATTACTTGAAGAAAACATAGAAGAAATGCTTTAGGACAATGGTCTGGCAAAGATTTTCTGGGTATGATCCAAAAATCTCTGACAATGAAAAACTGACAAAATAGATGGCATCAACCTAAAAAACTTCTGTACCACAAAGGAAACAAACAACAGAATAAAGCAATAATGCACAGAATAGGAGAAAATATCTATGACTATTCATCCAAATTGACATCAGAACATAAAAAACTCAACAGCAAACTCTGATTTACAAATGGACCAACCATCTGAATAAACATTTCTCAAAAGGATAAACAAATGGTCAAGAAATGTATGAAAATATGGTCAACATCACTCATCTCCATGGGACTACAAATACAAACCACAATGAGGGTCATATATAGTTAGAAAGATTATTATCAGAAAGACCAAAAAATAAATGCTAGCAAGGATGTGGAAAAAGGGGACTTCTCATACACTATTAGTGGGGCTATACAGTAGTACAACTATAGTGGAAAATAGTATGGAAGTTCCTCAAAAAACTAAAAATAGACCTATCATATAATCCAGAAATCCCACCACTGGATACATATCCACAGGAAAGGAAATCAGCATGTTGAAGTGTCTTTACTCTCTGTTTATTGCAGCACTGTTCATAATAGATAAGATATGAGATCATGATCCAACACTGGATGGATGAATTGATAAAGAAAATGTGGCATATATACACAGTAGAATATCCTCAAGTCACAACGATGAGACTCATTAACAGAAACATGGATGAGCCCTTGGGACCTTGCTAAGTAAAATCATGTAGAAAGAGAAATACTGGTGGTGCATGCGTATAATGCCAGCACTCAGGAGGCTGAAGCACAGGACTATTGCAAGTTCAAAAAGAAAGAGAGAGGGCCTGGGATTTAGTTCAGGGGCATGAGTGCTTGTCTGGCAAGCATGAGGTCATCAGTTCAATAGCCGTTACCAA